AGCAGCGACTCGGAGGGCTCGGCGGGCTCCCACCCCTACCACCCACCGCTCGGCCCTGAGAGGAACCACGGCGCCCACGCCAAGAAGTAAGGGAGTCCCCAGGATGGGGTCATGCTGTCCCTGCCGGGACATGGGAGATGGCCTCTGGTATTTGGGGTACAGCCCCATGCGGGCACCCCAGTTCCATCCAGGCAAAGCTCTGGGGACCAGGGCGGGATTGGGATGCTCAAGGGATGGGGACAGGGACGGAGATGGGGACAGGGACAGGGATGGGGACAAGGATGAGGACAGGGATGGAGATGGGAACGGGGAACGGGATTGGGATGGGGATGGGGATGGGCTTGGGGATGGGGACAGGGACAAGGATGGGGACAGGGATGGGGATGGGGATGTGGCTGGGGACAGGGACAGGGATGGGGAAGAGCCACAGTGGGTCGATGCTGATGCACTGCAGGAAGGGTGATCCCTGTGAGGGATTATCCCAGTGCAAAGGGCAGTGTCTGAATGGCTGCGTGGGATGACAGCATCCTATGGGGTGCAGGACCCCAAGTGTCAAACACCCCATGCTTTATAACCAGGGATGCAGACCAGCCAAAAACTGGGGTCATGTGGGTGCACCCGCTGCTCCCCCATGGGAACCTGGGCTCCCCAGCTCCCACGGGGACACCCCACGAGCCACAGCAGGCGGGGTGCGAGGAGGTGCTGGGGTCTGCCTTCGCAGGGTGAAGGAGAGGCACCACCGGGGCCGGCCCAACAGCAGTTCGGAGTCATCGGCCAAGCACTCCCGGCACGCCTCGGAGCGGAGGAAGAGCCCGTCGCCCAGCCCTGGCCAGCGCAGCAGCTCCTGGAGCTCCAGCGGCTCCCTCTCCAAGTCCCGTTCCCGCTCCCGGGAGAAGAGAGCAGGACGCAGCCGATCCCGTTCGCCCTCACCAAAAAAACCTGCCAGCAGGTCAGCCCCCGGGGGCTTCATCACGGGGAGCGCGGGCACCAGCAATGGGCTCAGAGAGCATCTGTGGCTCAGGGTGGTCCCGGCTTCCCCGGGGCTCGGGGAGGGGGCTGTGGGTCACTGCTGTCCCCGGTGGCACTGGAGGCGCCAGCCCTGGGTGGGGGTGTCACCCCCGTGGGGAGTTGCTGTGCATGGGCTGTCCCTGCCTCCCACCCGGGACCCCAGCCCGCACCCCTGACGCTCCTCCTCCTCCTCATGGTGTAGAGAGAAGGACAACGAGCCCCGAACACGCCATGGTGATCCCGATCCTGCCCGGGCCCGGCGCCGCTCCAGGAGCTACTCCCCCATTAGGAAGAGGAGACGTGACTCCCCCAGCTTCATGGAGCCCAGGAGGATCACGAGGTGGGTCCCAGCGCGTGGTGAAGCCTCTGCCGCGGCCGCTGGCATGGCCCA